AAAATTATCTTGGGTAAAGTAACCAATTAAAAAAAAAACATAAAAGTCATACCATTTTAAAAAATGTAATTCAATTTATAGTAATCACATTGCAAATATTAAATGTTTGAAACCATTGTCCTTTGTGGACAAAGGTTTTAAATTAAATTTCCTATAAATTTCTGAAATATTTATTTTGGAAGCTTGACTAAAAGAAATGGCAGTTCAAAAAATTTAAAATAATCATAAATTGAAAACAACACTAGCAACGCTGAGCAATTAAATTTAAAATAATTTCTGTTATGATAGCGTTCATGTCAGGTCACTATCAAAGTTTCCCTTGTCAGTGTGTTTCATATTTGTTTAGTAAAGTGAGTTAGCTTTGTGTGTTCTCTGTTTATTGTTAAGTATCTTTGTGTGGATTTTTAATTCTTAGGTGAGATTCATTTTCTTCTTTCTTTTTTCAATAACTCACTTACCCCAAGTAATATTTAGTTTGGAAAAAAAAGGGTACAAACAGCTAAATCTTTGACAGAAATGTGAACTTATCCACTTTTTGGAGAGTCATAATGAGAAGTGAACAGCTGAGGAGTTTCAAGTTAGTAAGACGACAGTAAATAATATCAAAAAGAGGAAACACAAGTATTTGGATAGGCTTAAAATTGAGTTCAAAGATATGAGCAAGAAGAAGAGGGCAACTGAATTTGATGACATAAATTCTTTAACTCTGAAGTGGTTTACTAAAAGAAGGGATTAAATTTAAGATTGTCTGGTTCCCATGCTTCAAGAAACAGCTATAAAATTTGCCAGAGAATTGAATCAACCTAACTTAAAACCTTTATCTGAATGGTTAGAAAGTTTTAAAATGCAGAATAACATTTCATCAAAAGTTTTGATAGGTGATTCAAACGAAGTTGACCTCGAGGGATGAGCAGATTCCAAGCAATCTTTTCTGATTTTGTGTGCAAGTGTTACTGGCAAAAAACTCCTACCTTTTATAATTGGGAAATACATAAACCTGAGGCGTTTTGAAAACATTAAGCCATACCAACTTTGAGTAATGTCGAAATCTCACAGAAAAGCATGGATGAATACAGAGCTGTTCACTGAGTGGCTAAATCATGTTAACACCTTAATGAGGAAACAAAAATTACACATTTTTATGATTGTGAATAATTACCCTAGCCATTGTCCTTTGGAAAAATTGTCTAATATGATGCTGAAATTTATGCCTCCGAACTCAATGTTGATTCTATAGCCTTGGGATCAAGGAGTCATCAAAACTTCCAAGCCCTTTTACTGAAAGCTCTTGCTAAAAGAAGCTGTGAGGAGGTATGAAGAAAGCTTTCATGACTCTGCATTGAAAGAAGCTTCCAAAATTAACATTCTCAATGTGATCCTCTGAATATCAGATGTGTGGAATTCCATAAAGAAAATCACAATTCAGAAGTGCTTTCAAAAGGCTTGTTTTCTCTTGGACAGTGGAAATGATGGTGAAAACTCTACTGCAAAAGTTACTGTCTTGATTCCTAAATTGGAAAACACATTGTTCTTGAATTTATTGACTGTGATTGAGATATTGTTACCACTAAATTCATTGAGTCAGATGTTTATGGAAGTGTCCTAAAAGAATTTAATATGGGAAAGGAAAAAAGTATTGAAGATGAAGGTGGCCTGTGTAATAATGAAGAGAAGCAATTGCCTATATCCCACAAGGAAGTTTGATATGCTGAATAAAATAGCCTATTGCTATATGACTAATAGCTGTCCTGAGGTTCTTATGCCAATATATCAAGCACAGAAGATTGTAGCTGATAAAATTATAAAAAAACAAAGTTATAAAGCAATCCAGAATTGATGAGGTTCTCACAAAAATTTGAATTTGTTACATTGTTTTTTTCTTCTCTGAGTTTTTGTTTAGAATACTGAATATTCAATTGTACTGTATGTTTTTTTTTTTTTTTTTTGTATTTCATATTAAATTTCCTATATTTAGACATTTTGTTTATTTCTAATTAAGTGATTTCATTCAAGAACACCCAGTGGTGATATTCGAAATATATAACAAAGGGTTCGCTAACAGAAAATTTTTCCTTAACAATTTTTTTTCGCTCAAATGGTGCATTAGCAACATTAGCGCAAAAACTGACCTTAAGATACCCATATAAATAAAAAAGATGCGTTGGCAAAATTAAGTCAGTTAAAGTTTAACATTGTTTATGCCAGAACTATATATATATTGATAAATAATAAAAAAAGTGTTCAAAATGGTTTATTTTGTACATATTTTAATATTTTTCATTCGAAGTATTTTATAAACATAAAAATTGGCTTATTTTTAATCAGAAAAAGTCAGGTTTAACTGCTTTCCCCATGACTTTTCCTCAAAAAAAAAAAAAAACTTTTCTAAATCATTTATTTTATCATTAGGTATTATTATAATAATAGACAGATGTCATCGTCTATCGAAATACAATATCTTTTTTATTTTGCTGGTAATAGCACGACACGTGTTCCGCAGCCATCTTGTATTTTCTCGGGCGCGTGGGATTGTGGGACCTTTCATACGACTGGACTAGTTTCAAGAACTCTCTTGAGTCGATCGAGATTGAAACGGTCAATGGAGGTTGCACCAAGGCGAACGGGGTATAATGCTCTAGTTTAGTAGTGTTACAGAGTATAATACGTATATTTTAATATATTTTTTTAAAAGAAACAAAACCACCGAAAAATATTACGTGTGTTTAACAACGGGTTCGGAAAACTTTGAAAATGTTAACAACGGGTTCAGCCGAACCTGTGTGAACCCACTGAATATCATCACTGAGAACACCTACATCCCTCATTTTGCATAAGGTGACCAAGCTGGTCTAAGGTTTAAGCTGTTTCTTTGATGGTCACATTAGCAGATTTCACTGTATGTTTATTAATGATTTTTATTTATTATATTATAATAAAACCAAATTATTAGTATTATATTATTAGTATAATACTTTGATACAGCACCATTCTCAAGCACCAATGAATTCTTGTGAAGGGATCTTCCCCATAAATATTAAATAGCCTACTTTTCAATAGCTATAAATTACTAAATTTATGCTTTTGCATTGCAGACAACATTGTTATCATCAAATCAAGTGACTTTCAAACTCTTTTTTCAAAGTTGTGTGTAAAACTCATTATTAGATATAATATTATGCATTGTAATCATGGAAATTAAAACCAGTCATTCAATATTATAAAAATTAAATCAGAAAAGATCCCAAGTATATCAATTAAAATACAGTAATAAAAATTCTTACTATAAATCAAAATTTAGTTATTATCATCATCATGGGAGTCCATGGAAAATTTTCTAGGGAGGGGCAAAGCTTGGAGACAAATAATTACATCAATAAATTTTTATCTAATTATTTAATTTTTTGGGTTTTTTTAACAAATAGGTTATAGAATACAGTATTGCATTAAAGCATCCTATGGTTGAGGGTATAAGGTTAATATCTCAGTCATTTATATTGTTATATATATTCTATTGTTAAAAGATGGTAGCAGGCAAACAATACTGAACAAATTATAATTATATATTAATTAACAAAGCTTCAAGTTAAACAATTTTTAAAATTGTTTTATTGTGTCTTTATAATGTTAGAGTCAATAAACTACTGACTTTCCATTAATTATAGTGTTCACTTATTATGCTTAATTTTATTAATCAGCTATTGTTAGATGGCTGGATGGCAAAACAGTCAAGATGGCAGTCTACTACTCTGGGGAACCCAGGATTGAATATGGACTAGTATGTCAGCCCTATCTCTCACCATCCAGCCACTCCCATTGTGGGCTTGCCAAAAGAGACCCTCTTAGTGCCCACAGGGCAAAGTTTAAAAAAAAGTCAGTTATTGACACTTGTCTATACCAATAACAAAGTGATTACATTAAGCAGATTCTAATGTAATTGTGAGATAAGCAGGGGGTCATGGGTAATCTAAGGACCACTTAATCTGCACGAGATCTTGTGATCTGATCTCTAACTTTTAAAGCCTTCCTTAAAAGGAAGGCTTTAAAAGTTTTTATAGAAAGGTGGAGATGTACGATTGTATAATCCAGTCTGCTGTCAGGATTCCCAACACCAGTTAAACTATTATTTCGTGGTTTAACTTGCGATTATCTTTAATTAGAAATATCTGTGACATTCAAGTGACAATGTCCGAGAAAAGCTAAGGGGTCAACTGTTGAGTGTGTTGGAATACATACTGAATAAAATCGTTCATATAACAATAAATTTAATATAACTAAACTAAAAAATGAATACAAAGTAAAATACACAATTGAATCAAAATACAATAAATGAAGTTACCAATATTACATTCGGGACTTATCCTGTAGGATCAAACTATCCGACTTAAATCTAAATTTAACCTAATCGCGTGAAGTCTAACACTTATAAATCCATACAAGAGAGGAAATTCAAAGTTATATGCCTCCTATGTCTTTTAAGACTGTTTACTTCATATGGCAAATTCGACTTAATCACCGACGAACTGCGTAATTTCAATAACACTTTATATGGCCAATTCAGGCATCATCTTGATTGTTGTCAAACTGCTTCTTATGGCATGTTCGTACCTCATTGAACTGCCCGGAATGGCAGGAAAAAACCCTTTTTATAGCGGCTTCTTCAGACAGCCAAGTAACGTGTGCAAAGGCAGCATCTGAATCATCTTGCAAGTCAGCCGTCTAAAGGAAGTTCAACTTCCCTTCTTTTGAAAATGACAGAAGCTACATCCTTTCTTTGTAAAACAAACAAAGAAAGGATGTAGCTTCTGTTGGAGAGAAGTTAACTCTCCAAAATAAAATATTTTTTTAGTCGAAAATAAAATTCTTCTTTTTATCCGCTAATTTCTTTAAAAATAACCCCCCAAATCCTGATTCTCACATAATTTCTTATTATTTGGAATTCTTTAATTTAATGCCAAATTTCAGATGCAAACAAATGACAACACTAAATTAAGATTTGACTTTACATTACAACTAATATATTACGTTAGTATCTTAACATATTTTTAGGAAGAAATTATATAAATAAAATTTTCTAGAAAATATGAAAATCTTTTTATCAGACAAGGATTTACAAATGTTTTCTGTAAGTCATTTACATAATATTAATGATTTTTGTGATGAAAGTGTCAATTTATTATTTTTATAAATCAGCTGCATATAGAATAATAATGTTTTCCTGAAAAAATGATAGAAATTTTAAAAAGCAATTACTTTTTAAAATTGAAGGATTTGGTATATTTATGAATTTATAATTTTTCATTGTTATATTAATAGTTATAATAAATACATCTACATTTTGACCAAATTAATTAATTTATATTTAAAATTTATTTAAAAGTATTCTTATTTATTGTAAGTGCTGTACATAACATTTTCTACAGCAAGTTTTATATACAATGCCTCATACTTCAAATTTAATTCATTCCAGAAGGTTGTTTGAACTCCAAATCAATTTTTCACATTAGAAATAATGAAAATGATTTAATCCATTCCTAGAACCTGAAAAATTTCCATTTCAATAAGCTTAATTCAAGCAAATACACACAATTCAAGGTAAAAATAACAATTAAATGTCTTAATAATAAATTATAACACAAAAGCAAGAAATAAAATATGTAAATACTGTATAATAAAATAAAAATTGCATTTATTGGTGCACACTATGGCCTTTCGCATCTTCATAGATGTGTGATTTAATTATAACAGTTGTGAAATTTAACATATTACAGGTAATGTAAGATTTTATTTTTTGTTCAGAATCTTACTTTAAACTCTTTACAACTTGATTTTATTCAAACAAGATGTGAAGTAATGTCTTCAGATAAAATGCATAACCAGGCATATTGTGCTTTGTGAGTTTCAAAAAGAATATAACACCATACAAACAGTAAAATAAATTTGTAATGCATGCGGGGAAGATACTCCTAAACTTTGAACATGTCAAATGTGCTTTAAAAAGTTCCGGTCAGGAAATTTTAAACTAAAGGATACAAAACATACAGGATGCCAAACAGCTGCTGAGAAAAAAAATTGCAGAAACAAACTGTTAAAAATTGATGAAAATACACAATGTAATATATAACCAAACTAACAAAAAAACAGCAAAAAAAAAAACAGCTCAACTGAATAAAATTTAATGATGAGATTTGCCAAGTGTCTGAATAAATACAATAATTGATTTGTGTTTGAATTACAGTACTAAAAAAAAGCACTGAAAACATACAACTGTAACGCATGAGCGAAAGTCAACTTGGACACAACAGATTGTGTTTATGTTTTGACCACATTTTTTCTATGCATGCAGTTAGAATTTTGAAAATCATTTGAATTCGGAGGCAAATTTTTATTGAATTTTGCATTCAAACTATGAAGTGTTCAAAAGTTAGAGTCATTCGAAGTACAAGGTACCACTTTAATTTGGTATAACATTAGAAACAGTAAAAGTCTACTAGTAATTAATGCAAAATTTGCAATTACAAAAAAAAAAATTATTTCAGATGGATTAATTTCAAGTTTATAAATATTTCATATTTAATTTTAGATAATACCCTTATTCATTATATCATCCATAAACAAGATTGTAATTCTGCAATTAATAATATTATATGATCTACTAGTAGTGTGAAAAAGTTCCCGGAAATGCTCAAAACAGCACATACCAATGAAATAAATACAAATGAAATTAAAGCATGTAACAGCCTTCTTTAGGAGGTATTATTGCACAATCTCATTACTGAATATGGTCCATTGACAGATAGTAGAATGATCCACAGAGGGATTCATTTCTGCTTGTTGTAGATAGAGTTTAGCAACAGAATGTCACTTCATAAACAGTGCACTAACATCAAATTTTGTGTTTTACTGAACAAGACATGAATGGAAATATTAAACATATTGGATGAAGCTTACAGTGAGTCAGCAATAGAAAACTCTGGAGTGTATGAATAACATAAGCATTTCTGTGAAGGTGAAAACATTCAGCCACAACAACTGCCCTGTGCCAAGTGGAAAACGTGGAGGCACTTTGAGATGTTGTATGAGCACTGACAAAACTGTGTTGCTGCTCAAGGCCAATATTTTGATGAATATGTTGTTTAAATTTCCTTATATATAACCATTCCAGAAGTAAAAATATTTTCAGAAACATTTTACGTAATTGGTGTTAAAATAACTAAAATGATGTTTAACTTTTCAGTAAAAGGATATTTGTTGTTTTGATAACAGAAAAATAATATATATAAATACCTGGTATAAAAAGTATATCTCCTGGTTGAAGAATACATTCATGCCATATAACATTTTTAAAATTCGGATATTTTTTAGTATCTGGATTATCTATATCTAACACTTCAGATTTATCACCTGAAAATAAAATTATGTTTTTACATAAAATACACTTAAATTTTATTTACTTTGCATAAAAATTTAAATATTTATCCGAATATTTTAACACATGCTGAAGAAATATTAAAACTTTAGTATTATTTATCAAGTGGATTAAGATAATATGTATACTTCAAATAAATTACTAACATTATGTTATCATGGATAATACTTGAATATTAAGAATTTTTTGTATTTTTTGTTCCTCTTTAAAAAACATTTTTAAAATATATTCATAATTAAAATAAGAATAATAAATTTATTTCTCTAGTTACAACATGAAATTCAAGCATACCTTTTAAATATAAATTTAAAACATCAGATGGAGGGAATAAAACACAACGTTTGTGACCAGTAACTTGAATTAAAAAGTTATCCATAATCTAATAAAATATAAATATATAAATTATTTTACAATACTTGGGACTAAAGGAAGGTAATTTTATGAGACTACAGTATAAAAATAACATTTTTCAGATTTTTGCTCCGTTTTCAGAAAAATAAATGTAAAATTTTTTGTCAGTTTTTCAGAAAAAGTGACAAGAAATTTTTACATTCTCAATACTAGCTATTGACAGATCAATAGTCAGTAACTTCAAAAACAATTTCGCTAGCTGACAGAGTAAAAAAAAACTGAACAGTACAAAAATGTAGTACACAACAAAATCATATTCAAAATAATAATGTCTTTAAATTAAAAAAATTGACACAATACAGTGAGTGTAAATAATAATAATCTATATAAATAAAAACGTAAATATTTGTTCGATCAAAATCTTAAATCTCCGAAAGTTCTTAACTGATTGCTTTGAAATTTTGACACAACGTTGCATTCGAATATGCACGTGTTTTTATATTATATAAATGTCGAATTTTGTCCCTCTCCCCCGTGTGAAGGAGAGGGACAAAATTAAGGCTTACCATGAAGAACCGGTCTTCTATTATTCTATTTTAGATGCAATTTTTTGCGTTTTTGATTGCGTTTTAATAGGATACATCAAGAGAATATACACTAAGAAGGGATTTTTCGAAATTTCCCCCTGCAGGGAGTGTTACATTTATAATAGACACATGTTGAGCCATAGCAACATGTGGCCGGGTACAGCTAGTAAAATAATAAATGTAAAAGTACAAATCCACAATAAATATAATAATTTTAATAATTTGCTATTTTTTTAAAAATAAAACTTGTTTGTGAGAATTGAACAAGTAAAAGGAAAACAATTCAAGGGTGACCTCATCAGAAGCTAATATATATCAACCTTCTGACCTAAGAGAGTGTCAACCTATGCTTTCTCAGAGTCAGAAGTAACACCTTTCCCACAACTTTTAGTCACCTCTAAGGTATTTGCTACTTTGAATGTGATGAAAGAATAGCTGATTCCAGTCAGTCGTTGCCTGTTCTTTCAACTGTTCTGTTTAGTGTGTTTGTGTGCCTCTTTTGGATTAATTAGTGCTCTTCTGTTTTTTCAGATTCCTTGTCTTCCCTCTACAGTACTTGCTGCTTCTCTCCCAAAATGCTATCTAAAGGACTACATTACAAAGATCCTCAACAGGGATTTTAGTTCCGACTTATAAGGCACTAAAAATTTGTATCTCTCTCTCCACAAAATGCGAATACCCTGTATAATGTGTTGTACCCACTTTCATGCCATCTAATAAATGTTTACGTGTAGTAAATTGTTTTGAGTGAATCAATTCCAACTGAATCTCATCCTTTCCTACTCCATCCTCTTATCCCTAGTCTCACATACGAGGCTGTGTTATAGTGGAACCTCACTTAACAAGCATAATTCATTCCAGAATCTTACTTGTAATGTGAAACACTTGTAAGGAACCAAGTCCGTGCTTTATTTTTAGTTTACTTTTACTTTGCTTTATTATATTTTTGTTTGGGGCTTATGTTTGGTTAGGACGAAGGTTTCCTCACCCACCACCCTAACGTTCAAAAACGAGAAGATAAAAGATTAACCAACTCACCGACGACGAAACGATAGCGCCATAGCTAGCATTGCACTCACGTGCACGCCCGAGCGGCAGAATTGTAAGTCCGCACTGAAGGGGGGGACACCCCAATAGACTTTCTAGGAACTTGTGTAACCTTAACAAAACATCCCGATAATTGTTAAAGAAATGCTGTAAAAGGTTAACAAAGTATTGTCGAGAAATAAGCTACCAGATAACGAAGAGAAAACAATGTTACGTGTAGATATGTAAATGAGGGGAGTGGCTACAGTAGAACTGTGACGTCACCTCATACTATAAGTACAGTAGCTCAAGTGAAGACAGAAGAGGTGAGCTCCTGAACCGAAAGCGTTGGTCTGCTGGTAGCAGTGAATAGGTGTCGAATAGGAAATCCTAGTAGGAGATTGAAGGTTCGATTTTGGTGATTTGGAAATAGGAAAGTCTTGAGTAGAAGAAAAGGTTCCGAGTATTAATTGAGGTGACGGTTAGGATTGATAGTTATAAGAGAATTTGTATCTAAGTTAAGAATTGGATTTTGTTTTGTCGGAATTCCAAGGGGAATAGTTCTAAGTTAGAATAAGACTTAAGTTTGTCGGGTTGATTTGTGATTTGATTTTTGATTAATAAATTTGTTGTTTGTTTATAAATCTTGTACATAGTATTGGTTAAACTTGATTAAACATTTATTATTGAGATTTTTTTGTGACTAACTTTGTCCTTAATTTATTTCGGGGCACGCTAAAAGTCCAGGCCTGGCAACTAACAAACGCGAACCCGCGTAAAGTACCCGTTAGGTCCCGGCTCTAAGAAAAATATCATTGTAGAGCAACAAATTAAAAATAGTACTTTACAACTGGCGCCCGAACAGGGACTCGAACCCTGGACCGTTAGGTTAAAAGTAGGATTGGTTGTTTTTTTCTTTAGTAGACTTAGATTGGATTTAGAGGAGTAACACCTCTGAAGTTAAAAGGACTGATCCTACAATGTTTGTTAGGACGAGATTTTGCCAGGAATCATGGGCTGAAACTAGATTTTCAAAATCTAACAATTTCACTATTCAGCATCGAAGTGGGAAAGAGAACCAACTACCAGATGCATTGTCTAGAAGACCCATGGAAGAACAGCAGCCAATAGAAGAATCGGATCTCGCCGCAAAATTGCTAGCGGTAATAGTTGAAAAAGAAAAGGATATTATAGACGCTCAACAAAATGATCCTGAATGGAGCGGACTATATAATTACTTCTTAACTGGGAACTTACCTGATGACCCAGCTTTAGCCACAGAAATTGTAGGTAAGTCTTCCCATTACCGGCTAGTAAATAATCTTTTATATTATAGCCGGAAAACAAACGAAACCGGAAGTTATCGACCGGTAATACCAATAGACTTAAGGAAAGAGATATTACATGAATTGCATGATCATCCAACTGCTGGCCACTTAGGTGTAAGAAAAACCACGAAAAAAGTACAACAAAGGTGTTACTGGCCCGGTATGAGAAAGGATATAAAAGAGTATGTATTAGGATGCCATACATGTCAAGTGACAAAATTCGACCAAAAGAAAACTGCAGGACTGATGCAAATTCCTGAAGTAACTAACCCAGGAGAAAAGGTAGGAATAGATATAATGGGACCGTATCCGAAGTCCATTAAAGGGAACCAGTATCTCCTGGTTATGATAGATTATTTTAGTAAGTGGGTCGAAATTTTTCCTCTGCGAAAGATAACCGCAGAGACAGTAGTAAATTGCATGTATAATGAGTATTTTTGCAGGTATGGCATGCCGAAAGTATTAATATCAAACAATGGGCCACAGTTTATCTCTCACCTCCTAGCGGAAGTTTGTGAACGGACAGGTATCAAACATATCCTGACGACACCTTATCATCCGCAATCGAATTTCACGGAAAGGATAAACCGCACCTTAGGCAGGATGATTGCCGCATATATAGAACGCAATCATAAGGAATGGGATGTTCATATCCCAGAATTAGCACTGGCGTTGAGAACTACGGAGCAAGATTCCACGAAATATACGCCAGCACACCTTCATCTTGGGAGAGAAATTACACTCCTGTGGGATCGATTAACTTCATATCCGAGACGCCCTACAACCATTCCAGAAAAATGAGCAGAATTACGAAAAATAATGAAGCAAGCCCAAGAAAACGTGCAGACCGCACAACAGAGGCAAAGAAGGGCGTATAATTTACGAAGGCGGCCAGACACATATAAGGTGGATTCTCTAGTTGTATTAAAAACTCACCCTATTTCTTCTTCCAGCCGCCGATTCAGCGCAAAGTTAGCACCTAAGTGGGCAGGACCGTACGAGATCGCCAGAGTTATATCACCAGTCGTATATGAGATTAAGGATCCTCGCACTGGAGCCAGCCATGGCAAACAACACATCTCCAACTTAAAGAGATATACTCTCTTTCCGTGGCAAACATTCACACCCCTAACGCAAACTAACGGGGATAATGGAAGAGGAGCACCCTCCGATAGGAGGTTATCAGTGCATCAGGCACCACCTTCACCAACCGTCATTCGAGCACAACCGTCCGGAGTTATTCAGCAACGACTGAGGCCACGTCAACGAATAGACTACCGACAGCTCGCCGGTCTTTCCAGGAAGAGAAGGAATGCAAGATAGAGAAGGATACTAGAGGTGATATATTTCTTTCAGGTGGTCATTGACCAAAATTCTAATTGTAATCTAAGGGGTCCCTAGAAAGGGAAAGGAAATTTGGCAAACGGGGGGAGAAATGTTAGAAAAAAAAAACTAAGTTTTTCTCACGGTGAAGGACTGGAATAACCCGTACTAATACAAATAACCCGGCTAACGATACTTAGATAATCAGTCCGTAACGAAAAAAAGTAAGTAAAAAGATAGAACAAAATTATGGGGTTAACTTTGTACCCTATTCACGCCATTGAACAGCGTGAAACTGGAAAACCCTTAGAACATCAATAAAAAANATGATGAAAGAATAGCTGATTCCAGTCAGTCGTTGCCTGTTCTTTCAACTGTTCTGTTTAGTGTGTTTGTGTGCCTCTTTTGGATTAATTAGTGCTCTTCTGTTTTTTCAGATTCCTTGTCTTCCCTCTACAGTACTTGCTGCTTCTCTCCCAAAATGCTATCTAAAGGACTACATTACAAAGATCCTCAACAGGGATTTTAGTTCCGACTTATAAGGCACTAAAAATTTGTATCTCTCTCTCCACAAAATGCGAATACCCTGTATAATGTGTTGTACCCACTTTCATGCCATCTAATAAATGTTTACGTGTAGTAAATTGTTTTGAGTGAATCAATTCCAACTGAATCTCATCCTTTCCTACTCCATCCTCTTATCCCTAGTCTCACATACGAGGCTGTGTTATAGTGGAACCTCACTTAACAAGCATAATTCATTCCAGAATCTTACTTGTAATGTGAAACACTTGTAAGGAACCAAGTCCGTGCTTTATTTTTAGTTTACTTTTACTTTGCTTTATTATATTTTTGTTTGGGGCTTATGTTTGGTTAGGACGAAGGTTTCCTCACCCACCACCCTAACGTTCAAAAACGAGAAGATAAAAGATTAACCAACTCACCGACGACGAAACGATAGCGCCATAGCTAGCATTGCACTCACGTGCACGCCCGAGCGGCAGAATTGTAAGTCCGCACTGAAGGGGGGGACACCCCAATANAAAAAAAAAAAAAAAAAAAAAAAAAAAAAAAAAAAAAAAAAAAAAAAAAAAAAAAAAAAAAAAAAAAAAAAAAAAAAAAAAAAAAAAAAAAAAAAAAAAAAAAAAAAAAAAAAAAAAAAAAAAAAAAAAAAAAAAAAAAAAAAAAAAAAAAAAAAAAAAAAAAAAAAAAAAAAAAAAAAAAAAAAAAAAAAAAAAAAAAAAAAAAAAAAAAAAAAAAAAAAAAAAAAAAAAAAAAAAAAAAAAAAAAAAAAAAAAAAAAAAAAAAAAAAAAAAAAAAAAAAAAAAAAAAAAAAAAAAAAAAAAAAAAAAAAAAAAAAAAAAAAAAAAAAAAAAAAAAAAAAAAAAAAAAAAAAAAAAAAAAAAAAAAAAAAAAAAAAAAAAAAAAAAAAAAAAAAAAAAAAAAAAAAAAAAAAAAAAAAAAAAAAAAAAAAAAAAAAAAAAAAAAAAAAAAAAAAAAAAAAAAAAAAAAAAAAAAAAAAAAAAAAAAAAAAAAAAAAAAAAAAAAAAAAAAAAAAAAAAAAAAAAAAAAAAAAAAAAAAAAAAAAAAAAAAAAAAAAAAAAAAAAAAAAAAAAAAAAAAAAAAAAAAAAAAAAAAAAAAAAAAAAAAAAAAAAAAAAAAAAAAAAAAAAAAAAAAAAAAAAAAAAAAAAAAAAAAAAAAAAAAAAAAAAAAAAAAAAAAAAAAAAAAAAAAAAAAAAAAAAAAAAAAAAAAAAAAAAAAAAAAAAAAAAAAAAAAAAAAAAAAAAAAAAAAAAAAAAAAAAAAAAAAAAAAAAAAAAAAAAAAAAAAAAAAAAAAAAAAAAAAAAAAAAAAAAAAAAAAAAAAAAAAAAAAAAAAAAAAAAAGAAATACAGTAATTTCTAATATTTAATTATAGCCTTTACATAGCTCAAGAATTTGGCATATCATCTGGTGTGTTTATTATATAACAGGCTATGGTTGTTGATGTTTATATGTAATATGATTATTAATTTGCTGAGTACGTTTTCTGTTCAATATATGTAATATGTCTGAACGCAAGTTTGGAAAAATGTGTGATCACAAGTGACACTAAGATGTTAACAGAACAAGTGCTAAACACAGACTGATGTAGCATGCACACAATCAGGGACTTCCTCTCTCCTCATCACTCATTAAGCGAGTCATTTTTTTACAATTTGTTTTGTTTGTTATGCAGATTACTTGTTATGAGAGGTTCCACCGTATTGCCATTCAAAAATGCCAAAACTCATGTGGTAGGCATAACTTACTTGATGTCAGAAGGAAAGACCAAAATAGAATCTCACAGTGGTGTCAGAATTAACACACCACCATCAGAGTTGTTCACAGTTTAAATGTAGTATATTTAAACATACAGTATAGAGTAGGGCAGTGTATTGTCATATATACTGTATTTTATATGTTTAAACGTTTAAGCTTTTCAAAAAGATCGTTTAAGTAAAAGTTTCAAATAAAAGATATTTGAAACCTTTTAATTTTCATTTAATTCTCACGTGGTGTCTTTTAACCTGTATTTAAGTGTTTTATGTATTCAATAATATTTAATTACTGTTTCTTTGATGTGAACATTTTAGAACACATGTTATCCTGAAGATGACTGCTCAAAGTAGTGGAAAACATTAGTTTTCATTAAATTTGGTGTTTGAGTGTGTTATATCTACTTTTATATACTGTTATGTAAAATATATAAATAAATATTCATAAGAATAATTTACTATTACAGAACACTTTTTAGTATTGATTATTGAATTTCAATAACAATTCTTGCCAATAATGATAGAAACTTCAGATATGTTTTTCAAAAACAAGAATAAAAGTTTGAAAAATGATTTCTGAATTTTTCTCTTATTTTCTCTCGTAAAATCATGTAACTTCAGTCTGTACTATATATTTCCAATTATCCTTACATTATATGAATAAATTTATCTTCAAATAAAAAAAGAAAATAATATAATTATTGCCTGGGTGAAGCCAAGGTTTCTGGAGTAACTTTTGCAGTTTCCTGTATGATTTAAAAAAAAATAATTCCCACATTAGATTTTGATGATTTTGGTGTCACAATGCTCAGTGGAATCCTGGCATGTGCATAAATTACTTTTTGGAAAATATAATTAACTCTGAGAAAAGATATATTCAAAAAAACAAGTGTCAACTTTTGTCTCTTTGATGCTTAATAACAAAAAAATTATTTTGACATTTTTGGGTGCTGTTTTTTTTTGGAATATAAAGCCACACAGTTGTTTCATACTTTTGCACAGTTTGATAAATTTCGGTTAAACTATGGAAAAGTTATCCAAGTTCAAAAAAAAAAAGAAGAAGAAAAAAAAAAAGAAACCAGATTTACATTCCTCATCCCCACTAGATAGCACCACATACCCAGCTATTCGATTGTCTCTGTTGTAACTGGCATGCCCGGGCCTGTACCAATTTAAAGGAAATGTCATTTCCTTTTATCAACATGTCAGCAGTAATGCTCAACTTCTTCTCATATCATTGGAAATTTTTAACTTTTACACATTCTAATATCTTCAACTTTTATGTGACTATTTCAAATATATGTTTTTTAGCCATGTCAAACAACTCACCAACATTATGTTTGAGAGACAGTTCCCTCAGAAACTGTTCTCATTAATCTTATCTCGTCTTTTGATTCGTTCACTGTTACAAGAAATCACCACATAGAGTCTCTCAAGTCTCGGTAGATATAACAAACACAGAAATAAATAACACAAAATAAATTGTAGCTATGTGTCGATTCCGCGCGACACGTCCAAACATGTAAGCTGAACAATAGTGTAAGGGGAGTGAGCAATCAAGAGTTGTGTGGTGCTCAAACAAAAGACGAATCGACAAGATTTGAAAATCATGTAACTCCGGGTTTGCGTAAGTTGAGGTATTACTGCAATGCTATTTTGTTTTTAATGATAAGTTTGCAGATTGCATTCTTTACTTTTCTTCATTATAACAATAATTATGATTCAATTTTTTAATTTATTCATCTATAAAAAAAAATTAAAAGATCCAGTTTCTGTGTCATGTAGATAATTATAGTAATATTAAAAATTAATGTTAAATGTAGAAAAAACTGTCTAAAGCAAAATAGACTTTTAATATCTTTTAAATGAAATATAGCATTTGCTTTTATAATAGATTAATTTATTTAGATCTATCTGTATTAAATTTCTTCTCTAGTTCATGATTGTGGATATAGTTAATTATAAAATATTAATGATTTAAAAAAATGGTATTCCTAAATGTCTATAAACTGTAAATGAATAATTTTAATCAAATACTTACATCGTAATGTGTCCAAAGGCATAATTTAGGTGATGATATACGGAACACACTAGAAAAAAACTGCTGTTCTTGAAAAAAAGGTGGAAATTCAATATCATTTGCTATTTTAGGAAATTGCTTTTGAATATTAGCAGGATCTTTGCGAGGATTTTCACCAAGTGATCTTAAATAATACATTTCTGTCTACAGTAAAATAAAAATAAAACATATGACGTTAACAATTACTGTATATTTAAAATTTTTCAGAAGTAAATTCTTAATATGCCAAGCAAAGATTAAGAATAAACATTATGTTAGAAGTAAATATGATTTCAAATTTCAGTTCCTTTTATATTTATAGTTTTGTTACTAGTTATAATTGGAAATATAGCTGTATAAAAAAAGAGTATAGATTGGGAATAAATTGTTCTGATAGCTAACTATAACAATATACATGATTTGACAATTAAGTTCTGGGATGCTCAAACTGTCTTCCTTACAGAATTAATTTCACATTGAAAAATTAGAAGTGATTTGTGGGGGAAAAAAGAGTATGTAAAGGGTTCAAATCTTCAAATCCATTTTTTTTTTTGGCCAAAAATTTGTTAATCTTCACTGCAGAATAAGACTAAATACTGTATTATCATCCAGTTGAAAACTCTTTTTGTCTAAAATGAATACTTTACTTAATAAAATCCTTTAACCAGGCAATCCAAAAGTTGTGTGTAATGCAGTTTATTCACTATCTGGTGGAATAAATTTCTTGTAAATGTCTTTCAATCAAAGAATATTATCAACATTATTTAGGTTTTTGACTTTTGAAATAATAATTTTTTATATCTTACAGATAGCCTGTTAATTGCCATTCTAATTAGTGTTGCAATGAATAGTATATTCGGCCTCAGGCCGAATACTGAATATTTGGCCAAACTATTTGGCTTGATTAATGCACATATGAAAATTGACCTCATTATGGCAAGGACCCTGCTCTCTATTGGCCCACTGTCACTATGCTTCGCCAATCGCATTAATTCTTGACAGTTGTAGCAGACAGACAAGAGCATCATGGCAGTATCCGATAAATGATGATATCAAATGTGAATAACAACAAAATGACCTATATGTGTAAATAACGAAAAAAGAACAGAGAAGGATTGCAAAGTGAAAATGTGAAAATAAATATGAAATTGAGTTGATAACATAATCAAGTCAAAGCAGCTTATTGGCGCAAAATTTGCAGCCGTCAATGCCAAACAATTGTCGTCATAGACTTCGGAAAGCTAAATGCTTGTAATGAAAGTCACTTAGTGTGCACAGACAAAAACCTGGGACCGTTCGGGTTATCAAGCTGTCTCAAATCTGTGAAATCATAACTGTGACATATACCGACATCCTATCTGTCTCTTTTCTCCGTTATCACCAGGCTATGAGTCACATAATTATAAAATGGAAAAACTATGATGGAAAAGTGATGAATCAAAAGTATCATGAGCGTGTATTATGATGTATGCATAGGCATACGTGGACTAGAGAGATGGAAGAAAGAGAAAGGAAAGAGCAAAGACGAGCACTTAAAAAGGATAGGCAGGGTCAGACCCTTACATGTGTGCGACGATTCTCGAATGAATAGGTGTGTACATGTGCTGATCTTTGTAATTATAAATTGTGAATACATGTGACTAATATTATTATTATTTTTATTTTGTGCATGTTATAAGTTGTAAATAAATGTAAACAAACAACACTAACCTGACAACATTAAATCTAAATACCAAAATGATTAATTTACTGCATTTTTGTTATTTCTTACTCCTGTTTTTAGGTATTTGGTATTCGGCCAAATAGTGATTAAATATTCAGTATTCAGCCGAATAGCGAAAAATAGGCTGAATAGGCCAAATACTGAATAGTAACCGAATATTCGTTACATCACTAATTCTAATTTTTATTTTATAAATTAGACTTAAATCATTAATTTTCATTTTGTTTTAAAATCAAAATTGATCAGCAAAAATTACTACTAATTGAACTGAATAAGCTTTTGACATGTTTTAAATCTGAAATGCTTTTGTTTACACATCCAAATAACATAAAACAAACCTAAAACAGATCTTTCATTTTCCCAAATCTTAAATCAAAAATTTACTAACTATTTGATTATTATTGATATTACATCTGTTCTTTCATCATCCAATTCATCATTTATAAACTTCAAACATGAAAAAATTCAAACAGTTATTGATCAGTTTCTACTAATGTGATATGTAAAAATGATCAATAATAATTTGAATGAGTTTTTAAAAGAAAAATTGATTGATCAGCTGTCACAAATGCAACAAATTTTCTAATATGCTTTTACTTGCTTCTTTAAATTGTTTCTGATAAACCCTCTATGCCATTTATGATCACTGAATATTAAAAATTTATGAAATTTAATATTAAATTTAGAGCAGAATTTTAAAATTGATTTTAATGAACTTTATTGTGAATTATATTAATGGCATAATTGCCAAAGGACGTTTTTATCCATTTTGCATTTTATTGTCGAGGCATAGCCCCAAATAAAAGATTGTCTCTGTAACTGAAAATTATTTTTGGAAGTCACTGGTGTTTGTAATGATGGAACAAGAAAACAATTTTGTATCTTCATGTTAATTTTATTTATATATTTTAATGTAAATATCATTAGCCAAGATTTGATTGTTAATTGTAGTTTCTTATTCACTGGATCACACATTCATACTGATATACTGTTTCATAAAAAATTTTGTTTGTTAATGATATAAAAATACGTGTGTTCAGGTTTTACAATTTTGTTACAAACTAATTGATTCTATTTTCACTTCAAAAAACCAACAAGAATTTATTATATTTTTTTAACCAATGATGATAAATAATTTAATAAAAATACAGAGCATCGATTATTCGAATGTCAATTAACTGAAAGCGTTCCAATCGGACTATGTCGTGTGAATTGAACGTTTTTGATACTAGATTAACTTTTAAAGTATAATTTTTTTTGTTTTTATAGTTTTCAATATATATATTTTGTTTGTACAAAATAAAGAAATAATTTTTAACGATACAATAGCCATGATTATTATTATAATAATTTTCGTTAGGCTTAACATCAACAAAAATTCAACGCAATGGAGAAAAATTTAAACATGGGATATATTAATATACTATTATTGGGATATACTTATTAATAATGTATTAAATCTGCAAATGTCTTGACAATTTCTTGAGTTTCACACAAAACTTGATAGCATAATGTGTTCAAGATTTTTCTCCATTTCAAACGTCACAATGTGTTAAAACACTATCTTATACAAACGGAGATTATGAATGTTTGACTTAACCGATCAACTTGAAACAGGACTAGATATGCTACTAAGAAGATATCTAGCAACATGAAAATACCAATTAATGATGTGTTAAGCTGCACAGTCATTAAATAAAAAATAATAATGTATTTTTTCATACATAATCAGTTCTCCGAAAAATCGATTTTCTGAACAACGCCAGTCCCTAATTGATTCGGATAATCGATGCTCTACTGTATGTTCTGAAAGAAAATAACTTAACTTATTTTCAAAATTTTATTGACTACTCATCTTTACCACAACACCGGAGAATAGTAATATAATTACCTCTTTCTAACCTGTTACCGGTGTGTCTACTAACTCTTAACGATCCAAAACGAACCAAAACTAACGTTTTCGAACCCTTAAACGGTTCTTCTTCAGGTTTTTTCGAATCTCTGATGGAAAATGCAGCTCGTAAAAACTTTAAATTCGAAATATGTAAGTTCGAATGCACGTTTCCCGTTTCCGTCGTTGTATGTCATGCGCAGTCGACTCCAAACGGGCTATCATAAATTACTATTCATAAACGCTAGCCACGCTGTTGATAACGTAATCTCTTCTTTATAATTGATGCATTGATTATCCTTAAGGTTAGCCAAATATATGCTGGCCGCCTCTAGCCATCTGATATGGTGTACGTGCCGTGCGGTGCGGATAATTCTTGCTTTCTTAAATTCGGGTT